CCCCCGGTGGTAGAAGCTAAGATGATCACAAGGATATTACAGCAGATCATGATCACGATATTCTTCTGCTCATCCAGACAAGGAAAGAAAAAGCATGTGAGAAGCAGCATCACTGTGCAGAGTTGCAAGGGAAGGAAGACAAAAGTGGATCCAGACATGGAGGAAGATGTGAAGGGAAAGGGAGATGGATCTGGCTTCTAGAACCCAAGATGTGAATAGAAGCGTAGCTTTCAGGCAAGAGATTCAAAATTAGATCAACAGCGATCTCTGAGGGTGTTTAGTATGTTGTTCTGCTTTCTGGATCCCATCACATGAGAGTTATCCCCCTCCTCTCCTAGAGCTAGGTACCCATGATGAATGAACCAAATTCCTGGTAGGAGTACCTTAAACCTGAAACTCAAATATAGTTACAATGTATTCTTTGAGAGTTAAAGCATTTTCAGAAATTAGAACTTTTGATCCATCTGGTCTGGAACATGGTTGAAAGGATTTTAACACTTTTCTGAAACCTAAAGAAAAGCCACCACATGGTGGCACCCAACCACTATTTTGCAGAGAAATAGAGCCAGAACTGTTTCACAATCAATATAAAGTCACTTATTTTTAAGTTATCAATAAAATAATCAAGTTTACATTAAAAGAAGGGGGGAAATCGGAGGGGAGACGAACCATGAGATACGATGGACTCTGAAAAACAAACTCAGGGTTCTACAGGGGAGGGGGTGGGAGGATGGGTTAGCCTGGTATTGGGTATTAAAGAGGGTACGTTCTGCATGGAGCGCTGGGTGTTATACGCAAACAATGAATCATGGAACACTACATCAAAAACTAATGATGTAATATATGGTGATTAACATAACATAATAATAAAAGAAATAAATAAAAGAAACTAAAAATGACAAAAACTCCATCACATGTATTCCAAACTAAGCCCCACAGCTCAACAAAGACCTGTGATTAGAGCTTGTCTTCCCTTGTTGCTGGAGACTGCCCACTGTCCCGACTTCACAGCCATGGGTAAGAGGGCATCCCCTTGGCTCTGTCTGAGTGCTGAGCAATGATGGAGTACATAGCTTTTGCAAAGGAAGCCAAGGGGTAGTCCCTGGATTAGGTGCTCACCCTATCCTAGAAAGTCAAAGCTAAACTATACATTAGGGAGACTGGCAGAGAATCTAAGGGGCTCAACACTGGGTCAGCATAGTCACTACACTTGAAATCATTTCCTGGCTATTGTTTCCTCTATGACAAGAATTGGGGGAGACAAAGAACCCTTCAAGCTCATTAGCCTGGTAGCAGGACAAGGTTCTCAGTAGTCCCAGGTCTCACCCAACTGACACAGCCCTGGATACAGGGTCACCCTAAAGACCACAAATTGCCCTGGGATGTTCTCAGGACAAGCCTCACCTATGCAGCAATGGGAGAGGTGCCAAAACTTGTCATACCTTCTGTCTGCTAAGCAGAAAAACTTAATGGGGTCAACTTAGTCCTCCCCGCAAAGATTTATGATTGTCCCAGTACTCACCAGAAAACAAGATTTCTCGATGACACAGGAAGATCATAGTTCTACTATGATTCATTTGCAGATAAGCAAATGTCTCTTACCTAATTTTTAGCCCAGCTCAAGGCTATTTTTTTGAGGTTATAATATTCTCCATTTCTAGTCTCCTACCTCCTGAGAGACAGGGGCAAATATGTACATATGTCTCTCATGCATCATTATAAAAATACATCTGGGACTGGGGCACCTGACTGGCTCAGTTGTTTAAGCATCTGACTTCAGCTCAGGTCATGATCCCAGGGTCCTGGGATAGAGCCCCACATCAGGGTCCTTGCTCCAGCCAGGGAGTCTGCTTCTCTCTCTCCCTCTGCCCCTCTCCCTCACTCATGTTCTCTTCTTGCTTGCGTTCTCTCTCTCAAGTAAATAAGTAAAATCTTTGTAAAAAAATACATCTGGAATATATGAAATGAGTGAATACTCGCAAAAGTCTGAGCATTTCCAGAGCCTGAGACTCAAGCACCTTGTCTCTGGCCCAATTTTAAGTGCCTGGTTATTTTTCACCTCAAAGCATCACTCCAATGGAGAACAGCCAGTTTCCAAGAGTCAGAGAGGGAAACAAATATCCTATACCCTCAGCCTTTACAAATGGTAACCTAGGACAATCGTATCATGCTGGTGCCTCCTTGAGTAAACATGAGAGAATACAACATAAAGACTGAAGTTGGTCACCAAGCTGAACATACTAAGCTTAATTTAAAATTGAACTTCAAACAAGTCAGCTTCTAAGACCAAAATGACATCTGCCAGTTCCACAAATTTTCAAGACATAGGGAAAACGAACTGTGAGAACCAAGACCCTGCCAAGTAGAAGGCTCAAGCCAAGCCTTATTGTTGCCACACTTGGGACACTCCTTTGCGTTTTAAAGATACCCCCCTAAAAAAAAACACATTGCAATTTCTGGGAAAATACTCCATGAGGTAGAAAATACAGCACCTTGGGAAGGTTTCAAATGGGCTTTCCAAGGTGCAAGGCATAATTTGACACATTCAGAGGGAACAAAGAGAAGCTGGGTTAGTTCTTACTGTCTGGGAGAGAAGGTACATCAGAGTTGGTGAGGCAGGAGAAGGTTTTGAGGAGAACTCAGGGTTGCATCAGGTAGATTAGCTTACTCTGGGGTTAAATTGTTTGCTGGGTCAGGTCCAAGAATGGTTACAAGAAAATAAAGGAACAGGTCCCACTCACTCTCAGGAAGGCCATTCAAACTCTGTTCCCGTCTGAAGACAAGGGTGGCCACACCAGGCTGGAGTGAAATCGGGTTCTAAGAGAGGCAGGGGAAGGAGGAGCTGATCAGTGCACAGGACGGTGGTGGAGAGCAACATTAACACTCAGTCACAAACCTAGAAGGTGGAGACGGAAGATCAGACATCATTGCGAAAGGACAATGGAGAAGTCAACAGTAAATCTGAGAAATCTTGTAGACAAACCCAAGACAGGACCCAGAAATAAATATCCTATTGAGAAAGAAACAGAAAGCCATATTATGAGAGGTAAAAATAACTCCCTGAGCCTTTTATAATCCTTTCACACAGGCTGTCACATTCCCATGGAAGGACTTACCAGGAGGAGGCACAGTCACTGCAAGAAAACACCTGTTTTTTCTATGCAGCCCTCATCACCACCTTTCAAATACAAGTTCCAGAACTTGAATTTTCTCCATTTCTCCCCTACTCTGCACTTTTCTTACATAGTGAAAAGAATAAAGAAAAGTTCAAGGGTCATCATGGCTGCTCCATCTTTTTTTTTTTTAAAGATTTTATTTATTTATTTATTTATTTATTTATTTATTTATTTATTTATTTATTTATTTATTTATTTATTTGAGAGAGAGAGAATGAGAGACAGCATGAGAGGGAGGAGGGTCAGAGGGAGAAGCAGACTCCCCGCGGAGCAGGGAGCCCGATGCGGGACTCGATCCAGGGACTCCAGGATCATGACCTGAGCCGAAGGCAGTCGCTTAACCAACTGAGCCACCCAGGCGCCCCATGGCTGCTCCATCTTAAGCACTGGGTAGGCTTAGGCAAGTTTCTTAACTTTACTGTGCTTCCGAAGAGTTTCCCATCTGAAAATGTGGACAATGTTACTATCTTAGAACAGGACCTGGCACACAACTGGGGAGTCAAAGGAAGGCTGTTTTCCCTCACTCTTGTTCAGAGACTGCTTGCCCTCAGGCCACATGGGGGAGAGGGGTCCACACCTAAAAGTAGCAACCAGTCCCGACTTTATGGAATACAGCAAGCAACCCAACACTGTTCAGGGATGCAGCATCTTGGAGATCAGGTAAGTCAACTAAATACATTAATTAGTCTCCTCATTTAAAAAAGGGATTCATTTACATTTCAAGAAGAAGTTTATGTTTAGTGCTATAAATATCTGACTTTGAGACCCTCTGGTCACATGGGAGGAGGAAGAAGGAAGAAGAGGCACATGGAAGCAAAAATACATGGGAGGATTAGGTCTGAGTGCCAACATGGACGTTTGTGTCGAGTATTAAACACATTGGTATCTATTACCTCAGCAACCCGACTTCTCTGAATTCATAAGAGAAAATAGAAATGAGAAAAATATAGGTTAGTGATACTGTTAATTATAGTAACACAGTAATAACAAGCCTCCAACTTTGGGAAAGTACTGAAAAATGGAGAGCATATTCACAATCTTGTGTTGAATATTAGATTCACAAAGAGATTTTAGTGATGTGGAATGATGCATAGGATTTTTGAACTAGGTCTAGAACCACTGATAATATATCTTGAAGTCTGTGAAACCATGTCTGAGTGTGTGAACATGCCACAAGGTTATCAGCAATAACATTAAAAATTAATTCTGTTCACCTTTTCTGTGTTTTATATGTTTTGTTAATATGACAGCCTATATTTTATTCAGAAAAGTAACACCTAAGAAGTCACAGAAGTGTTAACAGTACCAGTAATTAGATCATTCCTGTCGTGCTGCTACTATGTACATGAAGCCCTGACTCAGTGGTCAGCTCTATTCTTTTCACCAGATTTTAAAGAAATTAACAGCCTAAATTTTAAACTCACTCTCTTCCAAGGTTCTCTGGACTTTGTAGACAATGATAAATGGCTACCTGGTTTTACAAAGAGAAGCTAAGATGTAGGTAAGAACTCCCCTAGGCTCACCATCAGCTGTGTGTTCAAACTTGGCCCTGTGACTTAACATCTCTTTAAGCCTGAGTCTCTTCATCCGTAAAAGATGTGTAACAACAGTACACACATCAGGAGGGTGTTGTCTGGATTCAAGGACATGTGTATGAGGTGTTCAATACAGGGCCTGGCATGACTCAACACTCAAAAATGTTAACTGCTATATCATTCAAGATCCAACCCATCAGCCACAAACAAAACCCCACCACCCAAGCCCCAATCCAAAGCTTTGTTTACACTAAAAAGGATATAGAAAGTAAACATCTGTTTACTTCTGTTAAAGTTAGCAAGAATTTAATGAGCCCCAGATGCAGGACACAGATTGTACCCAAATAGAACCATGCTTCTTGAGCAAAGGGAGCAAGTGTGGTGATCGGATGTTCCTAGATAGGTGGCAACACACAATGTAAGACAAAGAGCTGGGATAGAGTCTACAGGAGAAAAACCAACAGGAGCCCGGCCCAAAAGAGAACTTTCCCCAGGGCCAGAAGCCCAGAAGAGTATTTTAAGGAGATGAAAGAAGGCACAGGTGATGGAAAGTCTGAGAGGGCTCAGTGTGTGTGTCCAAGGACAATCACAAGGGAGGAGCATTGCCATGTGAAATCCCAGGTCAGTTCTCAAGAGGGAGCCAATCCAGAGTCCCTGAGAACCTTCCATTTACTTAATTTCAGTGCAGCAACCACTCGGGCCGCCATTACTTAGCCCAACGGAAAGTCCAATAATCAATGCTAAAACGCCCAGCAACACCACTACTACCACAATGATAATTATCAATTTCTGGAGAGGATAAGAGAAACAAATCATTATTACAACCAAAACGCAATTCATCCAAAACCCAACATCTCTCACCTCTACATTGAAAGCCTCTTATCAACCCAAATAAGAAGTCTACAGCTCTACATAAACACATTCATTCTATTAGGATATTTTATATTTCTTAAATAACTTCCTGGCTATCAAGGCCAGCAGAGGGAAATATGGAGCTTCTGTGGGCTCTTGGCTCACACTTAAGTTTTGCACATGTGGACAGATAAAAAATCAACTACCACAGGGTCTCCAAAGCAGCAATAGGCGAAGGTATCAAGTAGCCAATTTTTCCTTTTCAAGAAGTGTATGTTTTTGAATAGTCCTAATTTCAAATTTCTATGTCTCTCGCTAAAGCACATGCCCACCCATCAGACCCAGTCTAGTGACTGGCGATCAGAAAGCAGGATTGCAGTCCTATATTGAGCCAACCTGGATTCATCAGGTTAAATAATTTCCCAACTCCTTGAATCCCTGCACAAGCAATAGGTAAAGTTGGAAGAAAATCGAAGAACTGAAGAACAAAAGTATCAGCACCCAGGAGAATAGTCAGCAAAGAACCGTCTAAAAAGCACTAGCCACCAGAGCTGGCTACCACAACAGACAGAGAAGTTTAAAAGTCCTCAAGCAAAAGGGGCACCAGAAGAGGGGTAAATATGCTGGTATGGGGGAAAGAGCAAGAAGGAAACTGAATTTGAATCCCAATCCTATACTTACTAGATGCCCTGAAGCCAATCACTTAACCTCTGACCCTCAACTGTTTCACATATAAGTAGGAATAACAGGTGCACCATAAAATAGGAGGTAATGTTGCATGGCGATCAACACAGCATTGGATTCACAGTGGAGAAAAGGGGGGTGGGCTTGGTTAATGGAGTGGAAGAGACTAAAGTTTCTGAAGAACAGAGGAGTCAAGTATAACATCTGAAAGGATCATGAGCTCCGTCCAGAAGTCTAGCAGCAACACTGCGCAACACATCCACCCTGCAGAACTGTCTTCAAGTGTGTGTTCTTGCGTAGAGAACATGTGAGCCAGATCCATGCAAGGCACACTCTGGGAGTGTGGAGGGAGGGACAGTCACTCTCTGGAAAAGGCTGACGTGTGTTGGGATGAGGCCAGGACAGAAAGGGAAGGCAAAGGATCAAGGGCACACGTAGAGAGGACCGGAGAGAAGTAAGCCAGAACAGTGGAGACTAAGGCACTCACCTTCCAAGCTTCACTCTGAAACTTGACAGCCTTTTTGGTATCTGCCACGGCCCACTCCACAAAGCCCACTGACTGGTCCATGTTGTTCTTGATATGGTCAATCATGGCTCCCTTTCCCCAGATGCAAGAGGTGGTGGCAGCAGAAACAGAGACAGGCACAGGGAAGAGAGAAAGAGCGAGAGACAGCAAGCAGAATGGACTCTCCTCTCTGAAGGCAGCTGGAGAGTCTTACCTTCCGGGCCTGACCCTGGTACTTCATGGCTCTTTTTGTTTCTTCCTGTGCCTTCTCCACATGGTCCACTGCGTGCATGACATTCAGCTCTATGTTATCTAGCATCTCACCCTGCAAAGAACAGACATGAGTCACACCCCATAAACCCACGCCAGGAGAGTTGGAGCTCACATGGGGACGGGGCTCTCTGTTATAATCCCTGGTGCAAAGAGAAGCATCCAGAAGTCTTCTGTGGGGCACACGTTCCATCTTACATGGGATTACCTATGGCTCCCCAGGCCCTGGTGGTGGTCACTCACTCAAGCAACACTCAGTAAATTACTTCTCTGGGACAGGCACTGCATGGAGCACGTGGAGCACAATGTCGAGATGCCTGGCAAATACATGTTCTAACAGATCCCACCACCACCATTCTGTTTTTAATTAAGCATATGAGGAGAGGAACCAAAATAAGAATATCTTAGGGCATAATAACTGGGATGCTGGCCTCTTCCTAGTCGTGCAGACCTGAACCAAGTTCATTTGGCCTGAGGCAAGTTTGTTGCCTAGTTCTTCAGAACAGACTGGCCAACAGGAGCTGCTCTGTAAACATCTAAGGTTGGGAACATCTGCTTTCTCCAGGAGAAACTCCCAGGCCCCTAAGGTGACAGACATGGGGTTTACCTAAGCTGTCTGGTTACATCTTATATCTCCGTGGTTATTAAGAGACAGTGATCTCTTGGCAAAATTCCCAACCATCTCCCAGCGATTACTTCCTGACGAGGAAGCACGGTCGCTCTAGTTAATTCTGGGCATCTTAGGATGGGAACGCCCCTCACCTACCTCGACCTGCCTCAACCCAACCCGTTGCTTTACGGCACTCTATAAGCAGAGAAAGGCACTTACCATCACTTGACTCTCAAACCAAGTCCTCAGCAAGGCCGCGAGGAGAGAAGAAAGAAAAGCGGGGAAGGAGGCACTTAAGGAATGGTCTCAAAGGCCAGAAGGGGGTAGAGGAAAGGCACCTGGGCCCTGAGCAGGGGACGGCTGTCGGAAACCAGCCAAGCAGTGCTCGGGCTTCAGGCAGGTTTTGCAGCCCTTCCACAATGGAAGCCATTTTCAGTCCCTTCCAGGAGGGCAGAACAGCTGGAAGTTCATGGTAATGGCGGCACACCTGGACCCCGTGGCATCTCTGACTTCGTCATAAGAACAGCAACCACCTGACCATGTGGAGCCAACACCCTATGCAGGTGACAGAGACTTACAACCCTGAGCAAACATGCCCAGGGACAGAGTAAGGTGACAAAACCATGAGGGTTTTGAGTATTCCTACAAATATTATTCTACTGTATCTTCCTAATTTTGTAACCTGTTCCTGTTTCTTAGCAAAAAGTGCCAAAATTTTTGGGAAAACCTACAGAAGAAAAGACAAAAATGGAAAAAATTAAAACCTCTGTGAAAGTTAACTTTTCACTGTGAAGTGGGGAAACAATCCTTTTTTCAGTGTCACCCATGAAATTGTTCCAATCAGGAGACTGTTTTAAGTCATCCTCATTAAGAACCCACATCCCCTTATTTATGTGTCTGTTTTTGTGCCAGTACCATGCTGTCTTGATGATCACATCTTTATAACATAGCTTGAAATCCCAGGCAGTATGATACCCCCAGATGTGGTTTTCTTTTTCAACATTTCCCTGGCTATTTGGGGTCTTTTCTGATTACATACAAATTTTATGATTGTTCGTTCCAGCTCTGTGAAAAATGTTGATAGTATTTTGATAGGGATTGCATTGAATATGTAGATTGCCCTGGGCAGCACAGACATTTTAACAATGTTTATTCTTCCAACCATGAGCATGGAATGTTTCTCCATCTCTTTGTGTCTTCCTCAATTTCTTTCATAAGTGTTCTGTAGTTTGTATATTACAGTTCCTTTACAACTTTGGTTAGGTTTATTCATAGGTATCTTATGGTTTTTGGTGCAACTGGAACAGAATAGAGAGCCCAGAAATGGACACTCAACTCTTCGGTCGACTAATCTTCGACAAAGCAGGAAAGAATATCCAATGGAAAAAAGGACAGTCTCTTCAATAAATAGTGCTGGGAAATCTGGATAGCGACATGCAGAAGGATAAGACTGGACCATTCTCTTACACCAGACACAAAGATAAACTCAAAATGGATGAAAGACCTCAATGTGAGACAGGAATCCATAAAAATCCCAGAGGAGAACACAGGCAGTAACCTCTTCGAACTCGGCCACAGCAACTTCTTCCAAGACACGTCTCTAAAGGCAAGGGAAACAAAAGCAAAAATGAACTACTGGGACTTCATCAAGATAAAAAGCTTCTGCTCAGCTAGGGAAATGGTCAACAAAACTAAGAGGCTAAAACCCATGGAATGGGAAAAGATATTTGCAAATGACGTATCAGATAAAGGGCTAGTACCCAAGATCTATAAAGAACTTCTCAAACTCAACACCCCCCCAAAAAATAATCCAGTCAAGAAATGGGCAGAAGACATGAACAGACAGTTCTCCAAAGAAGACATAAAGATGGCCAACAGACATATGAAAAAATGCTCCACATCACTTATCATCAGGGAAATACAAATAAGAACCACAATGAGATATCACCTTACACCAGTTAGAATGGCTAAAATTAACAAGAGAGGGAACAACTAATGTTGGTCAGGTTGTGGAGAAAGGGGAACCCTCTTACACTGTTGGTGGGAATGCAAGCTGGTACAGCCACTCTGGAAAACAGTATAGAGTTTCCTCAGGAAGTTAAAAATAAAGCTACCCTATGACCCAGCAATTGCACTACTGGGTATTCACCCCAAAGACAGAGATGTGAAAAGAAGGGGCAACTGCATCCCAATGTTCATAGCAGCAATGTCCACAATAGCCAAACTGTGGAAAGAGCCGAGATGTCCTTCACCAGATGAATGGATAAAGAAGGTATGATTCGTATATACAATGGACTATTACTCAGCCATCAGAAAGGATGAATACTTACCATTTACATCAACATGGATGGAACTGGAGAGTATTATGTTAAGTGAAATAAATCAAGCAGAGAAAGGCAATTATCGTATGGTTTCACTCATATGTAGAATATAAGAAATAGCACAGAGGATCATAGGGGAAGGGAGGAAAAACTGAATGGAAAGAAATCAGAGACAGAGCCAAACCATGAGAGACTTTTGACTCAGGGAAACAAACTGAGAATTGTGGAAAGGGAGGGGGATGAGGGATGGGATAACTGGGTGATGAGCATTAAGGAGGGCATGTGATGTGATGAGCACTGGGTGTTATAAGCAACTAATGAATCATTGAAAACTACACCAAAAACTAATGATGTACTACATGTTGGTTAATTGAACTTAAATTAAAAAATTAAATTAAATTTAAATATAAAAGAACCCACACCCCCAATTAGAAGGGAAACAAGAGGTGCTGAGGCAGAAGGAGGTAGTACTTGACTGAGTGCATCAAAACCCACAGTAAGCAGAAGTGAGGCCAAAGGAGCAGGCAAGACGACAAGGATGAGCTGGCACTCAGGAGGGCATTCCTTTCCTGGGACACTGGGATCGTGTTACTCCATCATGAGGATTCCCAATGATTCCCCCACCACACCTCATCCGACTTTCCAGCCCTCCCTTCTCAGGAGGACCTAAGCTTTCCTCCCTCTCCCCAGGGTGGTGTCCACTGCCAGTTACCTGATTCTTCACCAGCATGGTGATGTCCATAAACATGTCATGAACCTTGATGCTGCTCTCCAGCCTCACAATGTCCTTGTGCTGCCCCTCAATCTCACTGAGGGCTTGCTTGGAAATCTGGGAGTCCATGATCTACAACAGGCCACACAAAGACCAATCATCAGCCGGCACCCCTGCCAGAGGCCCCACTCGCACTCCGGCCAAGCCCCCTGCCCCCTGCCTCCTTGCACCTTCAGCCCTTCCCTCACCAACCACAGAGAGCTCCATGGCAGTCTGCCCTCTCCACGAGAGGGACTTACATTCCAGTTCCTGGACATTCAACCCAGAAATGAAGATGGCAGGTTTCCCACTCTCCAACATCTCCTCCAGCTCCTCATCTGTGGTCTTTTTGCCAGCTTTGTAACAAAAGAAGTAGAGCATCAAATATAAGACCAAAGCACACCAATTCAAAAGTCCCCTGTAAACCAGGAACAAGGTAACTTCACTCAAAAGACCATGCCCTGTACAACATACCCCCAAACGCTCCTGACCTGTCCTGCTCCTGATTTCTCCCATAATCCAAACCACCCTTAGCATTACAGATGGTTACCTTCCTGAAGCACATATCTCACCACATCTCTTCCTAGCTCACAAAGGTGACTGGCCCGTTCACTGTGCCTCGGAGGACCGGGAGCCAGTTCCTAGGTGAGCCCTCCATCCTCCACCTAACCCCACATTGCTCTTCCCAAGGGCTCCCCCTTCCCAGGCTGGACAGTGGCAGCACTCCTAAACACACTTGCTTTTCTCTGATGACATCCTGGTTCACACACTTCCTCCACTTGGAGCCCCTGGCACCCTGCAGCACCCCAAGTCCCTGAAGGTCATGACTTTTATAATCAGTCTATTCCTCACAACATCCAGCGCCATCCTATAATCTCATAAATGTTCTTTGCTGTCAAAGACACAACAAAAAATATCATGAGTCCCCAGGACGGCAACTGTCAGCAAGTGCCTCCCCTCCGTGTGAGGAAATGTTGGCGCCCACAGGAACCAAAAGACCTGGGCCTGACAAGCATCATGCCACCTTGCAGCCCACAATGGGGCATCAGGTGCAGTGGTGCCCTAAGGCCTCTCCTGGACTTGGGCACAAATGCAGCAGAAGCCACAAGCAGGGGTACTGCTCCTCGCTCTCCCAGTTCTCCCGACTTGGGACACACAGCCCTGTGGCAGGGAAAGGCGAAGGGGCGCGCACCAACTTCAAACACGCACTGATTTCGAGCTGCCGCTGGATTCGCCCTTTACTGCGTTCACGGAAGTCCACCTGAGCCTCGTTGTATTTGGTCATCACCTCCACAAACTTCCGGGACAGGACGGAATGCTGTGGGAACCATGCCAAGTGCAGTAAGCCCCCAGGAGCTGATGGCCAGGGACCCCACACTGTTATAGAGCCCACACCTCCGGCCCCATCCGGCCCAGGCTGTGGCAGCATTGGACTTGGAAGCAAAAGACCAGGTGTAAGACTCAACTTTCTGCTTTCCTAACTTTATACCATCAGGACAGTCTGCTGACCTTTCCAAGGCATGTGTTCAGCATCTGTTCACCTGCCCTGCTGACCTCACGTGATAATCCTGAGGCCAAAGGAGAGCCCTGCATCCACACGACTAACTGTGTTTTTCTGGCACAACCCGTGGCTTGCTTTCTAAAGCTGCCAGACTCCCTTCCAAATCCAACACCTGCCAAAATCCTTGAGTTCTTACCCAACCTGACCTTCCTAACTTCCCTTGCTTATAAGTCAATGCATTCACTCCAGAGCCCCCTGTGCCTGTGTTCCGATCTTCAGCATTATTTTTATTCCTTGCCCACTCTCCACATCAAGGCCTATTGGCTTCTCCTTTGCAAAATCACCAGTATTTGTACCCTTTCCAAACCCGCTAGCAGCACGCACATTCAAACCAAAGTCATTGCAAAAGCCCAGCAAGAGACCCACCTGCCTCTCGCCCGTGCCCCACTCTGGTCCAGCTTTCAGGAGGCCCCCAGCCTACCTCCTAACAGACTGCAAGCTGAAGTAAATGCACACAGGCCACCTGATCCTATCCAGGTTCCGCAGACAGGTATTCCAAGATCTCTGGAGTACAGCACTACATTCTCAATCAAAGTTCAATGGCCACTAGCCCACAGCCAGCTTTTCTCTCCAGACAGGCTGTTCTCTCCATGCCAGCCCCTCACCCCTGCCCCACCCCCATCACTATCACTACTGCTACTAACACACCCCAGGCCTCTTAGGGGAACCTCTCGACCCCTGAACCTGGCCATGTTGCCACTCTCGCCCATCCAAGGCCCAGCCCCCTCTGACTACCCCCAAGTCTTCCCGAGCTCTGTGAATGCGGAGAGCACCGTGCACTTCATTGAGTCTTCCTACACTGCTCTCCTGTTAGGTCCCATGTGATAGCATCCTTCTGCCACTTGAACATGACTGCCAGTTCTTTGAGGACATGGATCGTATCTCTGATGACCACCAGAGAGCCTAACTCCAACTGGACAACTAATGACCACAGTCTTCAGAGAGACCTCTGTCTCCTCCTGGGTAAAACAGGAGGCCCACGAACTCTGAAGCTGTGCCCTAGAGGAACCTTGGGAAGTTCTTCATGGGCCTCCTTAGAGAAGCAGAGGGTGGCAGAGGGGCCAAAAGGGCTGGACTCCGGCCCCTCTCCTGCTTCAGCCTGGGCAGCTCTCCTTTACCAGTTCTTCCAAATGAGTCCAAATAAGAACTGTACCTTACAAAAGAAAAAAAAAGACTCCACAGCTAAGACCAAAAAAAAACAATTAAGACTGGACGACATGACCAGGGAAAATCTTACCTGGGATTTCCGAATCCGAAGGTCGGCCGACGACCGGACCTCATCTTCCTCGATGTGCCTCTCCATACCTGCAGAGCAGAGCGAGGTTATTCCAGCAACACATCACTGCTCTCCAAGCAGCACACAGCTCAGTGCCAGGCTCCCCGCACACCCTCTCGCACCCAGCCCATGCAGAGATACAACAGGCATCTACAATCTCGACCCGTCAGCTCGCAAGTGAGCCATGGGCCTCATGTTCCACGCGCTTTACTGTACCAGGTCTTGTCTGATTGTAACTGAGCACAGCGGCTAACAGCAAGAGTCTCCGTCACCAGGAGACTCGGGCTCAAATCCCTGCCCTGCCACTCACTAGCTGTGTGACGTTGGGAAGGCCATGTCACCTTGGTGTTCCTGTTCTCTCATGTACAGAATGGAGCGAGGACAGCACCTCCCTCACCCACGTCAGCAGTGAATGAGAACACACTCTCACAGCTCCTATTGGAAGCTGCCCCTAACCACCTCCACCTCTGCCCATGAAAACAGGTATTGTGATTCGTTTTGGGGGAAGAAATGATGAATGCCACCTCCACCCTCTGATCAACAGTCTGCTTTCCCAAGCCAACTGGACAAAAATGCAGTTGGACCAAAGAGACCTTTTGGGCCCCAGGGGAACTCAGTCTATGACCTCGCCTCATTGAACAAAGGTCTAAACTGAAGGGGTGGAGACCTGGCCCCCCAAGAACTGTCTGCAGACTGAATAATAATACGTCCTACACCTCGATAGCACCAGCATTATTGTTCACACGGACATAGAGCAGGGAAATGGGACGAGTAAGAGAAAAGTCAAGGGACCAAGAAAGCACCGAGTCACACGACTCGGCAGCCGGCAGCACACTTTGGTTCTGCACTCTTTCAACTGCAGTCCTGCTTCCAGAACAAGAACCATTTGGGGAGGGGCACCTCAGTGGCTCAGATGGTTAAGCGTCTGCCTTCAGCTTAGGTCATGATCCCAGGGTCCTGGGATCGATCCCCGCATCAGGCTCCCTGCCAAGCAGGGAGCCTGCTTCTCCCTCTCCCTCTACTGTTCCCCCTGTTTGTGCTCTCTCGCTCTCTCAGTCTGGCTAAAGTGTGGGTGACATGGGGGAGGGTGGCAGGAGGAAAGGATGTGGAGGAGGGAAGGCATGTGACTAAGACAATTCCCATGTTCTCTGCTGAAACGTTCCAGCTTTAACCTTCAGGTCCTAGGGAGCCAAATAACAATTTAGAGCAAAATGATAGTGTCTAGCTTGTTCCTTGTCCTTAAGGAACCTAAAATACAGCCCTAAACCCCACTCTAAAAATGTGAAAAAGTTTGCTGAGGTGGCGGTAACAAATGGGAGTCTCAGGACAGGAGAGATTGAAGTGAATGTGACCCATTCTGGAACACCTCATGGAAAAAAGATGGCCTTGATATGGCAGGATTTGGATGGGGGCCTGGGGAAAAGCTTTTCAGGTGGGGAACTATGTCAACTATGACTTCTCCAGGCCCTCTGAAATTTCTGGGAGAACAAAATGTTCAGGGATTGTCAACAGGTATTTATTGAATTGTTGGGGAAAAGCATTTAGGATGTTTGCAAACTTTAGAAGCATCAGAACTTTCAGAATCACCTGCAGGGCTTGTCGAACTACAGATTGCTGGGCTGTGCTCCAGGACATTCTTCTTCAGATTCTTATCAGGTCCCAGGATTTGCATTTCTGAATGTTCTCAGGTGATGCTGATGCTGCTGTTCCCAGGACTACGCTTGGATCCACCGACTCAGCTAACATCACCTTAAGGAGCACCCTGTTCAGTGGCTCCCAAACTTTCTCAAAATTATCTGAAATCCTATTTAAAAAGACAGACTGCAGTCCTGTGGGATCAGTCATAGCTGGAAGCCTTGGAATACATAAGAATCACTGCAGGTTCTTGCTGGAAATGTGAGTTCCCAGAGTCTACCCCAATTTTAACAATTGCCCACAGGTGACTCATGGAAACTCACACTTTGGTAAACCTTGAACAGGTCCTTAGGACTGTTGATGAGGAGGGAGTGAAGCAGGCCTCCAATTCTCCTTCAATTAGCTTCACTTCACTTTCGTCTGTTTTACCTCCGAGACTTTTTTTTTAAATCACCAATACTATAAATCCTCTGTGCCGTTTGATTTCAAATGTATGATCATGATTCCAAATAAGAAATCAGTGTGCCTAGGAGCTACTCAATAAATGTCATCTTTGACAAATCAATGAGGATTCCAAAAATGAATCCAAATCCTGCTTCTTTTCATATATTCCCCTGCTATTTCCAGCATGTGTATAATAAAACATTGTAAAACATTTATGTTATTTGTGTTGGTAGTTGTGGTCTTTTGAGGCTCAGGAATGACCTATAGGAAAACACAGAGTCCAGTCCAACTACCATAAGCACTGGGCCTGGTTCCAGAATCAGCAGTCTGAACAAAGCCTTTCCAAAAGAGGGGGGAGAAAACCTTCACCCAATGTAGCATTTCACACTTCCTTTTCAGCTTTAGCTCCCTCTAGACATCACGTTATAACGGGAGAAAAGAGATCAGATAAATTCATTGCTACCATGGCATTTTCGTCACCCTAGTTCTGCCAAGAGGGACTTCTGCTCACAGAAGAAACTCACTCTAGGCTTCCCCACTGTGCCTCTCACTTGGGGAAAAAGATGTGTTGTACCAAGGGACAAGCCCCCAAGAACCCAAGCCCCCAGAATTACCTGCCCAAATGGTCCTGAGCTCACATCCAAGGCCTGCATGAGCCCATTCCTGAGTCTACCCTCCCAGGTGTACATACTGCTGGGCCCAGTGGGTGGCCAAAGGGTAGTTGTGTACTGGGAATATGGATAGAGCTTGGACATGTCATCTGTAGTATCCACACACATGTCGTCCATCAGAGTGGGGCTAAAAAGAGGAGAAACCAGACCATAGGCCACAGGAAGGGGAGTGGAATAGTGATGGAGAGTGGCTTGAACCACACTGCAGTGCTCCAGCATGGAACTCTGAGGCTGAGGATGCTAAGTTCAATCTGTCTGTCTCATTATGCAAGCTGATTTGTCAAAACAGGAGGGCAGAACCTATCTTGATTAAGCTTCCTCAACTGATTTATAACCTTTATAGATATGGCAGATATCTACATCTGTACCCCTGCTCCAGTCCCCAGACATGCTAGGGAGAAACAGACCTGCAGCCCTTGGCACTCAGCTCAGAGTAGCTTGTGCTGGGTATCTTCTGATCTCCCTGGGAGCTCTTAGGACCTTGTCTATTCTGCCAATTAGCTTTGAACCACTAGACATCGTGGTTCTTGGCTCACTCCCCAGTGTTCACCTTCAGTCAGTCAAGCAAATAACCAGTATTACAGAACTCTTGCTTGTCAGCTCAGAGAGAGGTGAAACAAAAGAAGTAGAGATTATCTCAAAGTGGTTCTGCTTGGTTGGATAAAGAAACGCTAAACAGACAACTCTAGCATAGGTAATAGTTGGGTGACCATGACTACAAAGCCAGATGCTTAAACCCCAAATTCACTCTCAATCCTGACAGAAGCCACACCAATCATTTACTTTTATTTTCTGGCTTTCTCCTGTATAAATGTCTAATATTTATTCTGAGATTATCTACCAACACATGTTACTAATTAATCTTTTGCCTTAAGGATCTTAGGTGGTTCCTTTCAGCAAATATTTGATGACCTCAGGATAGAGCAGGAAATACAACAGTGAACAAGAAAGACTTATCTTTACCTTTGAGGAACTCACAAGCTGGCAAGGACAAACACATTAAACAAACACAGCTAAGAAATAATTCCGCAAGTAACTGATTGGAACTTTCACAAGTGTTACAAGGGAAAGTATGGAGTGCCACGAGAGTAGATAACAGGGGAACACAACCTGGTCTGGGGGTGCAGATAGAGCATCCCTGAGGAAGTAGTTCTTAAGCTGAAGGACATGAAGTGGCACCACCCAAAAGCAAGACTTCAAGAGGAAAACTATAACGGTCAATGAGACTTGAGGAGGGAAGGAACTTGCCATCGTGGAAGAACAAGAATGAGTGAGGCTAAAGTATAACGTACGTGATAATGAGGTAATGCTGGACACACAGGCAAGGGTCTGAAGGTACAGGTCTGAGAGATTCACATTTAAAATACGGAGTCTCCTTCAAAGTGCAATGGAAGTATTCAAGGTTTTTAACCAGGAAGCAAATAATCAGAAGCATGTTTTTGAAGATCACTGTAGGAGTGAAACTGAATACTCAGAGCCCAAACAGTCACAGACATCTCTTCAATTCTATGATGATGAAATCATCATAGAATTGAACTTTTTGGGCCGCCTGGGTGGCTCAGTTGGTTAAGCGACTGCCTTCGGCTCAGGTCATGATCCTGGAGTCCCGGGATCGAGTCCCGCATCGGGCTTCCTGCTCAGCGGGGAGTCTGCTTCTCCCTCTGACCCTCCTCCCTCTCATGCTCTCTTTCATTCTCTCTCTCTCAAATGAATAAATAAAATCTTTAAAAAAAAAAAAAGAATTGAACTTTTTACAAACATTACCAGCATAACAGTAAAATACCTCTTCTGCAAGGAAAATGCAAACTGACATTTTCATAGATTAAAAGTCTTAGGGTAGTCTTAGGTAGTCAAACTCTGTTGCTTGAGAATTCCTTTTCTTTAAATAGGGATTATGTATTAATCAAGATTGAGAAATGCTGCTCTAGGAGTTGCATGGAGAATGGCTTGGAGGAAGTACAAGCAGCTAAGACAAAAATCTGGAAGTTATGGTGGGGGTGCAGGACCCCTGGTAATCTAGACCAGAGTAGGAGCAGTAGAGGCAGAAACAAAGCAGACTGGTTCCAGAAGGGAGAATGTTTGACCCTGGTGATTGATTAGATCATTTTGTGGGGAGACAGAGGTATCATGCTTGACCACCAGACTTCAGGTGGATACAACTGAATTGATGGTTATTAGTGAGATAATAAGAGTTAACAATTATGTGCTGCCTATTATGGACGAAGTACTATTCTCAGCAATCGTGTGGTAACTCATCAAACTCTCACGAAACTTAGGGGTAAGAATTATTAGCATTTACATTTTACTGATAAATTGAGATTCAGAGAGGTTAACTGACTTACCTAAGGTCACACAGCTCTTAAATAGCAAAGAATTACCAATGAAGAAGCAGGTTAGCAATAGAAGAAAAAGTTTTGAATTGGGGATATGCTAGCTTTGAGATTCCTATGAGACATCCAAGTAGAAATGTAGAGAAAGTTTTTGGCTATAATTTGGGACTCAGAAGGGAATCTAAGATAGAATTTAAAATGTGGGAAATGTTAGTATATTTGTAGCCTTCAAATTAGATGTGCGAGCAC